GGGGGGGGGGGGGGGGGGGGGGGGGGGGGGGGCCAACCTTAGGCACAATGGATCAATGCGGGGTAAGAAATACCCCATTCCCCCCTCACATGAAAAGACTCCCGATGATGGAAAAGTGTGCGATGACGGACTCATTGGTCCCGAGATAATGAGCGGAGATTGATGGCGGTCCAGGGATTAAAAGGGAAACGTTCCATCTTCTTCCCTGTTCTTCACTCCATTACCTAATGAGAGTGGACGCCATTCACTAATGCATTCCCCCTCCCCCTTTCCCATTTCTTACTTGCTTTCGCCGGAATGAAGAATAAATCAGAAAATTAAGACTGCGGGAACATATTCGCCGCGCTTTTATTTTAATCGCCTGCGCTTTTTCCTTTAAATTTTATATAATTTTCCCCTCTCCCATTTCTTCAGGACGTATCGTGCCAAACGGCTCTCATGCCGTGCCAATACTTTTTCCTCGCAAATGAGAAAAGTGAAGAGTCATACCGTAGACACGTGCCGCGGGAGGCCGGAATCAATTCCTCTTGGCTCTCTTCGAGACACTCGAAGGTGAGAGTGAAGAATTCCGAGCTGCATACCTACGAGGGAGAAGAAAGGAAAGAAATAAGGAAAAATGCATGAGAAATACAAAAAAAAGAGAGAAGAATGAGGGGCTGGGAGGAATGGCATCGGCGTTCGCCTCAGAATTTCCTCCCCCCCAAAATGAGGCCCAATTTCTTCGAGTGGGGAAGGGAAAGGCCCTCCAATCCACCACGGAATAGGAAACGAGACAGCAAGACAATCAAGAGGGAGACGGCCCATCACCTTCATGGAACTGGAGAGCTTGATGCGCCGGTGGCGCCCCGATGACGGGTCCTCGGATGGGAGCGCCTGGCCTTGACCTTGACCTTGACCTTGACCTTGACCCTGCACCGGACCTCCGGTTCCTTCCTCGTCCTCCTTGACCATCGTGCTCGGATCCAGAGCGTCGATGTGGGTCAGGCTCTTGCTTCGCCCCTGCCATCGACGATACCGAGACTCATAAACGAGGATAAAAGTAGCGGAGTGGGACGAGAAACGAAAATAATGACAGGGGATTATTATCAAGGGACACGACACCGTCCATTCCCCCTCTCCAATTAACTGCCAGAGATATTCCATTACGAAAGGGGAGAAAGGGCATTAACGTCCTTCACAGCCAGGCGATCGATGCAAGAGCCTTCAAGACCCCTTCTCTTTCTTCGGAGATTCCCAGCCTGCTCCCCGTGCCGACCCGCCGGACCCAGAGGTCACCCGGCCCCTCCCTCCCCACCCGCCCCTCCCTTCCCCTATTTCCGACCTCCACCCATCCTCCCCCCCTCCCCATCCATCCTCCACTGCATTCTCACAATATCTACCTGGAGTCTGAAGGGGTCAGGGTCGGGCGAGAGCAAGAGGAAGAGGCGGATGGCGGCCTCGTGACCCTTGGACGTCGCCAGGGTGCTCAGGGACGGGTTCGAATGCGTCCCTCGCATCGTCCCTTTCACTTGGAGCGTGTCTCTCTCGACTTTCATTCCATCAACGTCCGTCCATCCATCCGATTCGCCAGAGTCCGCGGATCGCAAAACACCCTGTCGCTTAACCCTCTGTCGCTTAACCTTCGGTCGAGTAACTCCCTGTCGCTTATCCTTCGATCGCTGCGCGTCCCGCTCGATTCGCCTCACGATTCAAATCGAGACGCACGCCCATTCCGCTCCAACGTTCCCCGCACACCGAAAACACTCGGGAACACGTGAAGGAAGCGCGGAAACACCCTCCATCATCGATCACACACACCCATCATATCACAGCAGGAGAGACACGGCGATTCCGGAAGGGGGTACAGCGATCCTATGGCAAATACAGTCTCCGCCGGTGGGTGCTATAGCCCCCCCCCCTTACCCCCCCTCGCGCCTGCTCACTTCACTTCGCCTCGCATCCAGTAAGTCCTCGACGCGATTTTCCTTCTTTCTTTTTCCTTCTCTTTCCGGTTTTCCTTGTCTTCCCGCTCCTGAATAACTGATATGCAATTACGGGCCGATCAGTGGATTCGTTCAAGGGAGAAAAAAAAACACGCTTTCTTTTTTTCTCTCTCTCTATCTCAGGCATTCTTAAGGGATCTTCCCTCAGTCATTGCCTTTCAGCTTTCTTGTCCGATGGGATTCGTGCTGTTTTTCTCCATCTTGAGATTTTCTATCCCTCAGCTGAATTTTTTTTTGTCCTCGAGATCAAAGAGAGGGTGTGGATGGATTGCGAATGGATTTTCCGTCAAACTTCGTCTCGTCGCGCCAAAAAATATCTGCACGGCAAACAATGGGAATGTTTGCCACTGCCGGGCTGGCCTCTCCACGTGAACAAGATGCGATTTCTCCCACCCTTTTTTTTTTTTCAAGAGCCAGCCACGGAAATCCTTTAAAGCCGATCCTGATCCCCCCCTCTCCTCACCGAGGCAAGAAGCCTTAAAAGATGGGTAAGAAAAAAATAATAAAAAGAGAAACAAAAAAAAAACACGATGGAACGCGAGATCCACCCGAAGGAAAGAGGGGGTGTGGATGGAATATACCAGACAAAAGGAACGGAAAAGGGGAGGAAAAGGAAAAAGGAACGGAGGAGAAAAGAGTCATTCCATCGGAAGAAGGATCACTGTTTCTGTTTCGGTTTCTGTTTCGTCCATTCGAGCGCGCGTAATGTCCCCCGGAGCGTGGCGGCTCATTTAATTGCCTTCCTTCTCCCTTTCTCCCTCGACATCCTCGACATCCTCAACATCCTCCCAGGCATGAGGAATATGATTCCGCGGGGAAGGAAGAGACAATATCGGGAAGGAAACCTCGTCCCTGTCACGATACTCGTGACGTCACTCGGAATCTCTCCCGAACAACGGAAGGAAAAAAAAAATCCAATCATGACACGGAAGAGGGGAGAATCGATTCCCAGGAGTCATCGGACTCGGAGAACTCAGGATACCAATACAAAAAAAAAAGACTGAGAGAAAAGGACTTTTGACATCGGTGACAGAAAAAGTTCCCGAATCGACCGAGCGACGCGATCGACAGGAACGGTTCGGCACCAACCCCTCGACTCTAATTGTAGACGTTTCTCAACGATCTACCGTTATTCCTGATCGTGGGGGGCCGCGCGGAGACACATAAGCAGCGGGTAACAATACACCACCGTATCGAACACGAAATCGATCTCTAGATGATGACTCGTTCCGCTTCGGTCGCTTCCTAAGCAACAGCATCCTCATTGGAGGATCGGCCGACACGGAGGAGGACGGCGACCTGAGTACAAATTCAACGGCAGTCCAGCCGTGATCATTAAAGTGCTTTCAGTATCCCAACCCTACCAATTTAGGAGAGGACCTCGGCTCAATCTCGATCGAATTACAAATCGACCGATGACTCTGAAATTAGCCTTTGTCACCAGCGAGTGACGCCTCCCTTCGGCATCACGAATCCCTCCCGCCTGCACTCTCCAATAGACACGAAAGGTGTCAACGCGATCCCACTGAACCTATTGGGGGGAGGGGGGGGGGGGGGGGCCNTGGAGTGGATGGTCGGGGGGGGGGGGGGGGGGGGGGGGGGGGGACCGACGCCGTCTCCATCTATGAACCCGTGCGCAACCTAAACACTTCCACCCTCTCCACTAGATGTCCCTGGCGGCGGCCAGCCTCACCTCGAAGGTGCGGGGAAAGTCGTCATCAGAGCGGCTCTTCTGTCTGTAGTAAGCCTTCCTCCGACGGAGTTTCACCGTCTTCTTCACTGGGGCTGCACCTTGACCTCCTTGGCCTCCTTGTCCCTGGCCGGGCTCGCTTGTCTCCCTGCACGGGAGGGACGAGAAGAGGAAACAAAATTAATAACAGAACAAATATTTGCACGGGGCCCATATCGTTTCAGTGATGGAAAGAGTGCAAAGAACGCTTATACTGGACGCAATGTATACACATAAATTAGCTGCGATGAATCTTCAGGCTCTGAACATCGCGAAGGCATAAAATAAAGTTTTCGAAGATAACAAAGAGATATGTAAAAGAACAAATAAAAAATTGGAAAGCCTCTCCATCGAATGGTCAAGATCCGTAACGGCGTCACAGCGTTTAACTTTTTTTTCCCGTCACATTTCGTTCGTTTCCCTTTCCGGCTTCTTGCGATTCTGATTTGGGGGGAATTAGCCTGGCGTGAAACGGGAGGGCGAGGTGTGCGAGGTGTGTTCAGCTAACGTTAAGACGGCCTCACGCACATGTACTCTTTCAGACAGAGCGTATCGAGAAAGAGAATGAAGACCACGAGTCCTCAGTGAAGGAGGAAGGAGAGGAAAAAAGACGTAAAAGAGGGCAGGGAACCAGGAAATTCATGCAACGGTAAAAAAAAAGACGTCGATTGCGCCGTCAATTGCCTAATTGGCAACAGACGCTGAGGCAGATCAATGCCTTCGCCCCATTCGCATTCCTCTCCCTTCCGCCTCCCCCCCGATTCCCCTTCCCTCGCGAGAGACCTGAGATTCACCGAGGCAACTGGAAATCCTCCACTCACCGACTGGGGGTGGGGAGCTCCTGCGAGGCCGGGAGGAACACCGCGTCCTCGGTGGGCTCCTGTTCCACGTCAGACAAGTTGTGGATGTGCGGCAGGGAGGAACTCGCGGCCAGGCATCCTCCTGCAAGGGTCAAGAGGATATGAAGACAACGCGGAACACGAATTTCTTAAGCGATCGACGACTGGATTTACAAGAAAAACTGAGAACGAGTCTGATGACATGATATATTCATGGGAGTTATTAGAATCCAAACCTGTTACATGTCCTGCACGTGCAAGGACGCATTTAATATATCATTTTAAACGGGCATTTGTACTTTAATAAGTTCATTTCGAGGATGAAAGCAGCGGCGACTGAAATGAATATAATTCTTTCGGAGCGATAAAATAAATTTCCGGCCTGACACGGACCTCAAGGTAGGTTGACATCACTGAATAAGTTCATGTATCAAAAAGTGCGTGGGCAACACTGCATAATCCATCTGCAAAGGTCATCGCTTTCTGACATGCCTTTCCACCACCTAAGTGAACTTTGGAATCTGCGAGTTTATGGACGCAGAAAATCAACATATGATGTTTCAAGAGCGTGCACAAGGAAAAATATCTTATCTAAACTGCCAACGGAGCTGGTTCACATCACCTGACATCCTGTCCTATATGTGCGGTATTTCTTCATAACAAGTTGGTTTTTTCCCCCATTTTCATCAAGTTTCATTTTCACTGTCACGAAGCAGTCAGATGGAGAAAAAATGGTAGGAGAGTCAAAATGTTATCATATGATGTTTACGTAGGATGAGCATGAGGGCCACCACAATTCCAAGAACACTCTCCCATATCATGCCTTTCGGTCCCGATATGGACCTTTTATCGCCACTCGTTCATGACTCACGTTGATGAAACACGAGCTCTGGTATGCAACAAGAGGCACAAAAGCGAGGAGATAGGACAATCTTCTTACTTTCCGAGAGTCGGAGGCGATCGAGGGGATTCTTGAGTTTGTTGTGGAGGTGGAGCACCTCCGCGGCGTCGAACGCCTCGCTGCTTCTCCGCGGCGGCGGGGCGGGCGCTACCGACTGCAAGGAAAAAAAAAAAAAAAACATTTAGTCTTATGTACGACAAAAAAATCCCTAACTCCATGGAGAAATGAACGAATGAATTATAGCAAGGAACTGTTCGCTGGCGAAGCTGGACCGCGACGGCTTTCAGCTAATTGTCAGGCTTGAAAACCACTCTTAATGGGCCAACATTACATCAGACCACCAAAGAAACTTGTGTAAGAACAAAAAAACCTCAATCCTATCCCATTCCTGTCTTTCTCTCCCAGACACACACACATACACACACAATATAGACTGGAGATCCCCCCTCACGAGATATTACATAGGAGCCCCCAAACGACGCCCATGGGAAAGGAGCAAACAGTGCATCAATCAATATCACCATCACCATCAAGATCCTACCGTCCTTTTTATCTTCTTTTTTTTCTATTGTTTTTAAAGGGAAGTGGTCCTTTGTGTCAGGGTTGAGTTGATCATGACCCCACTTCTCGTTTCCGGTGAATTTTTTCCTTTCTTCATCGATGGAGGAGAACAGGGCGAATAGCGTGACTATGCGCGTACAATTTTGCACCTGGGCCTTTACTCTCTTCCTCTTTTTTTGCAACAGGTGGGGACTTTCGAAACGAAAGTGAAACACTTCTTATTATGGATGAGCCGAGAGAACATCTGGGGGAAAAATCTGGAGCGCATCTACTCCATCTGACCTTTCCCTTATTCTTCCACGAAATTTCCCATCCGAGCGGAAAAAGCGCGAGATGGGATAACCCAAACCAACAGCCGCAGCTGTTCCTCGCCCCGCTCCCTCACCTCGTCCGTCTCGTTGTACAGGCTGGGCGTGGACCCGAACTGGTCCTCCTGGACCTGACTCAGGCGATACGACTTCTTCTTCCAGCCCCGGGAGAACTGGGTCGGGACCAGCCGGGAAAGCGAGAGGGAGGACTGGGACAGCCGCTCGGACCACGAGAACCCCTGCCACGTCCGGTCGCGTTCCGACCGACTCAACCGATTGGGCTTCGTCCCTAACCCCACTTGACATTGACTCGATTCGAAACTCAGCGCCCGTTCCAATCGCACCGGGGTTCGTGGAACCGAGGTTCCACCCCATTGCAACGCTCCTACATCCAGTCGGTGCATCGCAACATTACAAACAGCTCGAAACTAATTAGGCTGTGCCGACCGACAATTGCAAACAAGATACTGCAAAAAAATGAGCAAAGAAGATTACCTAAAGAATAATAAATAGTTGAAGGTAGTATATAACATACAGGAAGTCTCTGGCAGTTTCCGCCTTGGTCACGTCAATGTAACAGAGATTCGACACACCTCATCACCAACAAGGAAAAACACTGGGAAAGGAGCCCAACGTTTTGACTTCATGCATTTATCATAATGCCTTGTATGAAGACTAATTCGAAACGGTGGCCTATTCTCCCACGGCATTTTTCCTCGTTGGTGATGAGAAGGTGCGTGGAACCGCCGACACCCCTATATATAATGTAGAATATAATATACAGGAAAATAAGATAAAGTAGGAAATGAGAGACTAGGAATACATAATTAAAAGATATAAATATAAAAATTAAATTGGAAAAATGAGTGATGTTCGCACGCAAGACTATCAGTGCCATATTAGTCAAGATTTTCAAGCACGATACTATGGAAATTAGGCCTACGCATTTACGGAAACCTGTAACTCTTTTCGAGTGTCGCAAGAGACAGGGTCATAAACGGGACCGAAAACCCAGGGGACACACACAAAGAAAATCTTGTGCGACAGGAGTTGGGAAACAAAGGTCCTCCGGTGCCATAAAAACGCCACGGGAGAGCGACTATCTACGAGGACAACAGTACCTGAGAGGACGAGTGTCTGAGTCCTCTCAGGACGACTCCTCACGGTGGGTACCGAGATAACTCCTATCTATCATTTCTCTCTCCTTTTCCCTTATTTTTTTTATTTTCTATAGTCCTCATAAATGCCGGGGATATCTCGGACCCACTTGTCGGCGAAGAAACGAGGGTGCTATCTGCCTCCGAGGGTAATCCACCTTGACAAATGAGTAAAAGAAAGAAAAAAAAAAGAGGGAAACCCCCCCGGGAAAAGCAATGCGTCCGTGCCAAGCTGTCCTATTACTAAAAGGAGTTCTGTTTCTCACGCTCCAGCAAGCCGAGCCGGATCCTCTCCACCGGCTTTATTAATTGCACTCATATAACGATAGCCACCAATTAGGAGAAAGTACCGGGACTTTTTGTCTATTTTTTTGTACAGCCCGAGGCAGGATCCCATGACGGTGACAGAATGGATACATTCACCGGGGGGGAGACTTGCAAGAAAAACAAACACAAGGTCATACCTCATAGAAATCTTTTCGAAAGACAAGACGAGGCGGTATGGAATCCCGACGAGGGGCAATTACTAATTATTATAATGGTCACTTGTCTGACTCAACCCACGAAGTTCCAGAGCCAGATGCAACCAAGTTCCAGACTAATCGGGTGAAAGAGGATTTATCAGAACAAGTTGGGGGGCATCGGGGAAACAATCAGGGAACCGTATAAACAAGTCAAAGCTCGCTCGCTCGCTCACTCCCTCCCTCCCTCCCTCCCCCCCCTCCTCGATCCCATAGATCTGCCCATCCCCCCTTTCCTTCCTCCACGCTATCGCAGTCGAGGATCACGGCGCGAGTTCGTGACCACTCACCTGGACCGATTTTGCGCAATCGGCGCTCCTCTTTTTTTTTCCTCTCCCCACCTCGTACAAGAGAAAAATGTTTGCTCCCGAGTCTTATCGATGGTGACGATGGCGGCACCTTTTTTTTCCGAATGCAGCTGCGAGTCAGATTCCTATCCCATGCCTCATCCGACAAGACAAATACGTAAATGGGTCAAGCAGGCTCGCGTATTGCGAGCTTGAAGCAAATTCATGAAACAAATGGTCAGCATGTGACTTTCGTAGTAAATTTAATAAAAATCTGATAAGAGGCCACTGGAGGTGTCCGGTTTCTTGTAATTCATACGACAATTATCCGACAATAACAGCAACAAAAGGCAATAAACGGGAAATCCAAAGGTTAATCCCACAAGGAGGTGGAACACGCTTATATACACAGATGAGTAAAAGATAATAAAATAATAATACAGTTACGATGGGAGAGCGAACTTGGAGGAAGAATTCACTGAGAACTGTGGAACCCGGCAAACACATCGGGCAAAATCGAGTCACCGGAAATCGTAAACGGAGAAGGAAAATTTGCCAAAAACGGAGGAGAGATGGAAAAGGATGGAATGCGGAGTGCAACATGGACCACGCACGCACCGTGGACGGTAGAGCTGCAACTACACGCGCTTGGTCCCACAACCGACCGCCCGACCGACCTCCAGCAGGGGGAGCCCTCCTCGGGTCCTTCGCTCCTCTCCACCTATCCTTTCCTTTCTCCTTTTTCCGCGTTCTTCTGGGATTTCACATGGAAGGAAAGAAGGCACGGCCGAGATCGTGCAAAAAAAAAGGACCTCGGGGACTCATGTTCCGGTCCTCTCCCTCTCTGTGGAGTTCCCGGGCAGGGTATTGAACCATACAGGACTCCCTTTTTTCCTTCTTTTTTACCCCGAGGGCCAGGTCGACCGCGACAGGGAACACTTAATTGATTATGCTTTTCTCCACCCTTAATTACCGTTTCCACTTTCTGCACCGGGGAAGGAAAAATTTATGGCAGGTGTGGGAAGGAAGACGGGGATTTTCATTTTGGCACGAGCGAGACAATGAATGCCAAGATGCGGAAACTGGGTCATGACACCGTGCTGAGATGCATGTCTGTCGTCTACTTTCCTGTTTTTCTTGCATCATCTTGCGACAGGGGGGACTTTCGAGCCTCGCGATTGAGATTGGAATCGGGATGCGAGAAAGACAAGATAATTCCAGACGAGAAAAACCCAGACGGTTCCAAGAGAGAAAAAACCGGACAGTTCAGTAGTAAGGAAAAAAATGGCCAAACGGACAAGCATGCAAATAATCCGTGAGAGCTGAAGTGCGGTTAAAAATGGCATTGTTGACCGTCCTCATTCCGTGTCCCTCTTCCTGCACAAACCGCGACAAAAGACTCCTCGGTCCTTTCCCCCCTTTTCATCTGCGCCTACGCAGCTGCTTGTCGAGGAGCCTTTTTTTTTTTTTTCTTTCTGGAGAAGACTCGAGAGAAGAGAGTTAAATATTAAACACGGCGTGTTGATTCCTCCTGACCCACGGAGGATGAATCACGGATGGCCTTTCCAAAAACGCAACGGCGCGTGCCTCCACACACTTTCTCCGCCTGCGTTGGACTTCATCGCATTTTTCTTTCCTTTCTTCTGCCTCATATTTTCCTCCTACTTGGCCTCGGCAGAAAAAAATTACGAGAAATTCCATCCCAAATAGCACGTCCCGTACGTGCAATGATCCGAGACGAAATCCCATCCAGGATATCTTTTCCAATAGTATCTGCCGACAAAGGCAGCAGATTTCTGGGAATCCATTCTATCATCTGGGATTAGGGCCGGTTCTCATTAGTGAGATTCGATGCACATGAGGCATAATTTGACTCTTATTTCATGGTTTCAAACTCCAATTTCAATTAGTGCGTCATTACATCACATACAATTCAACGTTGGGAAAAGAGATGACGGCGAGAGACAAAACGGTTTGTAAACTACCAAAATGGTGATGGGGATCGAGCGATGCGTGAAAAAAAAGGTCACATGTGGCCGACCAACCACGGAAACATGAATGCCTTCCTTCTTTCTTCCTTTCTTTCTTTCTTTGGATGAACTCACCGGAGACAAGGGTGGATTATTTCCAGGCGAGCTTGGGTCACTCTGAGGCAAACGCGGGCCGTTTCGAGGCATGCGTGGGCCACCTCGTGACAAACGTTGGTCGTCTCGGAAGGGAGGCGAGATTATGATTTTTGGCGGCATCCACGGCGATCCCGGGGCACTATTCGAGCAAGTTTGGCTCGTCTTTCGACCGAAGATCCGCCCGGCCATGGTTTACGATTTTTGCGAATTTTCGCAAAAGGGGCGTCCGGCTTGCCGGGGAGTCATTCGTCATTCATGTATTCGTGTGTCGCAAGACGGATCTTCATTAGAGTTGAGCACGTTTAGGAGAAGAGCTCCGGCATGAGCACTTGGGGCAAGAATTTGCACATTTAGCACCGGGGGGAATTCGCGCATTTGCACCATGGCAGACACTGCACTAAATCGACGTCCGTGCACATGGGCTTTCAGTACTGAAGTGAAACTGGGCCGGCCCGATTACCCAGAAGGTTCTTTTTTTTTTTATTCCTTTTCTTTCCTCCTTCTTTCTCCCCTCACCGGCAGGCCCAGAGGGTTTATTTTCATAAGACATCATTCCGCCCGGCCCCAGGGGCCATTCCCTGACCATGTACATCGCGGACGTGTGAGGAAATCGACCATCAAACCACTGCCAGACAATAATCTAAATATAGCCTTTTCTCCCATTATCTTTCGAACAACCTTGCATATTTTCTACTATCTTAACGGTTTATTCTCTTCGTTCTCCTTCACTTCATCTATCTTTGTTTTGATGTCACGCTTTTTTTTTTTCCTTAAATTTTGTTTATGCTGAGCACGTCATCCGGATAAACGCCTACTGCCAAGAAATCTTCTCCAAAGGAAAAGAAAAAGTTGCCGCCCGGGAAATTCTCACTGAAAAGATTTTTTTTGTATATATTCAAGAGGTTTCTCGCGAGATGCGACAGAGGATATGGCGAGTCAACTTCTGGCCCGATTCCCAATCTGTTCCACCAGCCTTGGGATTTCCAGCATATCGAAGGTCTCTCTCAAGAGATTTTTTCCCTTTTTCTCGCCCTTCTGCCGATGCCACTGAGAGGAAATAACAATTATTGCATGAGGCTTTGAAAGCTCCTCGCCCCGGGCTCTCCCGACGTGACTGCCATTGACACGGAAAATGTCGCTCTAAATACACGTAATCGTTTCCTCCAAAAGGTTTCTTTTTTTCTTCCTTTCAAGGACGCATTGACACGGTTGAAATTTTCTAAAATGTAAAAATGTTCAAGATATCAGTATGAGTAGTAAAATAACGTAAACTTCGAAACATTTTCTATTCAAGAATGACGTGAAATAAGAAATATAAAATAAATGTAGGGTTTAAGTCCGCTCAAAAAGTCCGCTTTGAGCTTTAAGCTCAAAATCCCTACGACTCAAGGAGTGAAGCGACGCAGATTGTTTTCAATCCAAAGCAAAAAAAAAATCAATTGGGAAGAAGTTGAAGAAGACTAACTTCTGCTATTTGACTTATGGTTTTGATTCGTGAAGCAACTCA